TTTTTTTTTCTTTGTTGTTGTCAAATGAAAGGTGCTGATGCCTTTTGTTGACTTGGTGGCTGACAATAACGAATATTCTTAAACAATGAGAGATGCTACGGTTCTATTACGGAACCATTCCATCGGAGTTTGTAATTATTTGATCAGCTATCCCTGACAGTTACATGATGATCTAACAGTTACAAACCCCGACGGAATAGTTCCATAACGAGACCGTTGCATTTCTCTACGATAATAAACTTGTTGGAAAAATTATGGTTAAAACTTAAAAGCATCGAATTTTAAATAAAATTAAGTTTTAACATAATATTTTAGTTTTGTGCTCTCTATTGAATTTTTCCATAAACAAAACTATAACAATCAAAATAATGAAATATTCATTGTAATACATGCATGTCAGAATATTTTTCATAATATTTGGAGTTAGAATAGCATAATTTTTCTTGTAGTGGACAAGGGATGTTCAATATGTTGGAATATTATACAAACTAACAAAATAATAAATAAATAAATAATCCTGCACCCCCATAAAAATAGGAAAAAGAATACTATTATTAATTAGCTGAAATAAACCGGACACCTATTAACCCTATAACTCGGCAGCAGCAACCCGTCCGGCCCAACCCCAACCGGGCATCTGACGTGCATCGTGTGCCGCTTGCTGTCCCACGTGGATATCTTGAACCGGATCACTGACGTCACCTCCACCCGGAAAACCACCTCCCCCCTCGCCCGGTCCGCCACGAACCGCCCCCACATCCCGGCCACGGCAGGCCCTGCCACCCTCCCAGCCACCGCCGTAGTGTTCTTGGGCCCCTGGTAAAACGACGGCAGGGCCTGGGCCTCGGCCGACGACGGGCCCACCAAACCCTCATCCCCGTAAAACACGGCCACGTCCAACGAGTCATAGTGGACCCCTATGTTCTGGTTCGGATTGCGGGCCGTGAGGTTGTAAAGTATTATTTGGGCCTCTCCTGGGGCGGCGCCATCTTGGGCCAGGCCCGGTAAGGAGAAGTCCTGGACGTGGAAACGGGGCCTGTGGGGCCGGAGGCTGAGCCAGAGGATGAAGGTGATGATGCCGACGAGGAAAACGAGGGTTAAGAAAATGGAACAAACGAGCTTCGACACGCGGGTCGTGAGGCTCTCCTTCACGCGGTGGGCGTAGTAGTGGGCCGTGTGGTGGCGCTTTATGGGCCGGCTCAGTGGGGCGGCGGGCTGATGGACCAGGATTTGGCTGTTGGCCCG